TCAGTGGCGGTTGTGCTGTAGGCATCTTATTGGTTTGTCTGCCTAATCTTGTCTGTCTGCCAAGTCCACTGGCAAGCGAGGCATGTTATGATGCGTGGCAGTGAAAGCCGCAAGGAAGCTGTCGCGCTGATGTCGCTGGACTCGCCCAGAGGACTTATCCTGAGTGCTTGTGTATGCATGGCTTAGATGCTGTGCCCCCGCCTGTATGTGCTCCACCATTTCCGTATTCATGGCGTGTTAGATCCCACTTTTGTCCCCATTTTCTTGTAATAATAATTCATGATTGTGTGGCAGCTAAGCATCGGTAGAATTATCGATGTACTGCTGTCTATGATGATGATGATGATGGAAGGGGTGGCCTTCAGATGTTGTAGATGCAGTTAATTTAAGGGAGTTTAAGAAAAAGCTTGATAAATATTTGAATTATAAGAGCTGGCTTTGAGTGATTTATCTTAATTTTTTTGGGTTTAGTTTAGTGGGATGGCCTAGATAGATCAAATTCCTTATTGTGAGAATATATGTATATGTATGTAAAACTAGTGTTAGTCTGCTGTTATCCTGCTCTCTGTGTTTAGGTACTTATTTAACACTAATAGTATAGTTTTATTAGATACGTGTTATATTTATGAGTCATATCTATTTTGTTAGTATTACATTATAGTACAGAGAGTCATAGATATGTTTATGCCTGGACCTAATTCAATAATTGAATTGTAACTTATTATAATACCCAAATTTTATTTTGCACATACCAGATACTGAGATAGCTTGACACTTAATACTTATATTAATGTAATTTTTATAGTTATAGTTATTTTTTTAAAATTTCATATATACCATTGATAAATTGTAAAACAAAAAGTATTATACTATTATTTTCATTATTATGCCTTTTAAAGTAAAATAATAATGAATAGGGTTATGTAACCTTTTACTTCATGATGAGTACACTAGAATGGATGGCAACTGCCTGTTGTAGAAAAAACACACGTGTAGAGGACGATGTTTTGAAAGTCTTCCGTCGTCAGTGTGTGAAAAAAACAATATGTGTCAGGAATTTCAATATGAGATCTTCCGAGGTGAAACCTCGGAGAATTACTGGGGGTGCTTAGAAGCTTTAGCTTCCCTTTGCTCTTCATGTGATGGAAGTTTTGTGGTTTAAGATTACTTAAAGAAGATTGTGTTGACGTGGCAGATTTGAAGATGCCTCAAGCAGTCGGGAAGAGGCCAGAGAGCCTTGACTAAGGGAGATCTGGAATTCACAAACAAAATAGCTCCTGTGGGATATAGTTCTTCATGGATCTATAAATTCAAAGCCGGAGAATTTTGCAGTGGAGGGGAAAGAGAAGTGCTCCAAAAAAATCCACTTTCACAGTCCAGATGCTGAAAAAGTATGCCTGAACAGAAAAGAAAGTCGGTGGTTGAGGAGAGTGGATTAGTTTTTCAGCAGTCAGTGTGTGTATATCGTATTGAATTGACAGGTATTATGGTTTTAAAATCCAACAAACCCCGAAGGGGCTTGTTAGACAACCAGGGGCACTCAGAAACTTCTGTTTCTCTTCACCCCACTTATGAAATTAAGAGTTATTCTAAGGTGAACTTGGAAAATTAACTAAAGTGAATTAAACTTTAAGTGACAAATTTGAGTTTAAATGGTACAGTGTTGATGTTTAGCTCACTAGAATGTTGATAAGCGTGTGTGGCACATTTATACACTAAGTGTGACTAATTGAGAGCCTCATGGTGACAGGGAGAACTGTGAATACAAAAAGCAGGAAGTCAGAGACAAGAAAAGCACAAGGAGAGGTGTGATAGCTTGATGAGAAAAGACTGACCAAGGCCATGACAAAAGTAGCCAGTTCCCAGTTGAAAACTAGCATGACTAATG